TGACTGATTTATAAGTGTTTGTAACCCTCATAAATAAATGAAGTGGCTTCATTGCCATAGAGACTTTAGTTGACATGCAGTGGTCTCAGGGCACCTGTCACATTATATAGTCTTCTGCAGATTCCCCTTTAAAATTGTGACATATCTACCTATTTTAGTTGTGACATCTTTGTAATGATATTGGTCATGTTGTGGTCTCATCTTTTTTTCACATTAAACACATGAAATTTACCTAGTAAATTACAAAATTTGTTGATTTGTTAATAGGACATGGCTTTGCTATAAAATTATCATAAAGGGCAACCGGGTTAATTTTATTCACCACAGCAAGTCACAATTTATTATATATTGTACATACGTCTGTGATATTTATGTAGAGTTATTTATATTTTAAGGGAAAAGGGGTCCATATTCAGCCTCAGAAAATTATTAATTTGCAACTGTTTATAATTTTGAACAAACTTTTTTTTTAACTGGTAACTAGGAAAAAAATTGTTAGCTACATTATTGCAGACAGTTAATCTCTTACTTACAAGATTTTGAAACTTGAATGAATATTTTAGTGACTATAAATGAATATCTCTTATTAGATGTGTTAATTCAGTAGTTTGATAAGATTTTTAAAAATTTATTAACGGTTTACGTGAAAACACTGTGAAATGAATGTTTGAAAACATGATTTTGTTTTAAATACATTAGTTTTCCGTCGAGTTTTTTCTCGACCTTGATAGAAAGGGCGGAGGGATGTTCCGATTGCCACAGCCTCTCTCCCGATTTACCCCTAATTTTTACAATTTTTGACCCCCTTGGTACATTCTAAGATTTATATCCCAAATCTCCTTATTTCTGGATTTTCCCAATTTTCAGGTTCTTAATTATTAGTAGTAGTGGGGCCCGTTTTACAAAAGAACTTACAACTAAGATCAAAAACTTCAGTTGATTGTAAAATTTCGCAAAATTAATTATTCTGTTTAAAATTGCTAGCGGAAAAGTATCTTTCTACACATCTTTTAAAGATATTAACACCGTTTTCTATTTAATGTAAATTAAAAAGTTATTAGCAGAATTAATTTTTTGGTCTTAGTCGTAAGTTCTTTTGTAAAACAGGCCCCAGAAACTTAACAGATCGAAAATTATCATACAGTTTTCAAGCATTTATATTACAGGAAGCTGCATAAATGAACATGCCAGACATGCAAACATCAAGACTGCATAACAGTGATTGACAAACAGGGCAGCTATAAGTGTCATCTTCGTGTTCATATTAAAGGCATGTCTGCTGTGAGAACAAATATGAATAATTTGTTTTATATGCAAATATGCACTTATCTGCACTTAAAATAGAAAATTATATTCAGCAAAAAAAGTCAAATCTTGTGGACAAATTATCAAAAAACTACTGCTAACATTCATTTGGGGTAGGCAGATCTAATCTTCCTGCAATCTGAATAAAAGAAAAATAAATTTAATTGATTTCATAAGTAAGGAGTGTCTCATTTCCTCTGAAGCTAAAGAAAACCTGATTATGACATTTTAAAGTACAGTTTTTTTTAATGCAGATCGAGCTGCACATACGGTGCATTTTGGAGTTGTGTATATTGAAAGTTCTAAATTAAAGCAGCATTTTAAGATGAAATAATAATTGTGGCTGGATATATTAGGTTTTGTCCAGAGGAAAGATTTTAGTGTCCTAGCTGTTGATGGCTTAATTAAGCTAATCAAAGGCTTTAGAAAGTAAAGGTCAGTTATTGATAAAAAAAAAAAAAATACAACAACATGCACATACATTATGTAAATTACATAGGTAGTGCAGTGACATTTTTTTTATAATATGTACGTGGATTCTTTTCAAATTGTAACTCAATTATCATAAAAACATCAGTTTTAAAAAAGAAAATCAGACTTTGAACTTTATTAATTACAATTTAGTGAAACATTATTGATACAAAAGAATTACGGTCAAACTCTGTGTAAGTTGGACAAATTTAAAGGAAAAAACTGAGAGATTTCCAGTGATTTGAGATATCAATTTTAAAATACCGGTACATTTTTTAAAATGGTGGAAACTTTTAACTCACTTCAATATTTCAGTATTCAAGATATTCAAGTTTGAGATAACAACGGGAAAATTCAATTGCATTAAAACTTATTAATGTATAGTCATTTACTGCAGAATACTGTATAAGCAGAAATTTTAGCGAGGATTCAATTTTGGCATTTTTAGCCAGAGTGTTGAGATAGCTAAAATTAAATACCACTAACAATTTATTCCGCATTAGAGGTTACCTTTATCTTTACATGCACCATAAAATTGTGAAAATTACTTCTCATTGAAATTAGATACTGATTTATAAGGACAACTTGCTAAATTTGCGCCTCGATCGCTGAAAATTCCACTTGTGCATACGGTATATTTTATTGATATTTATTTATGGCCTTTCGTTCTGGTGTCAAGGTTTATTTTTATATCGTCATTTTAATCATGATGAGCCTTTTTATCAGATGTAGACAGGATGACATTTCAGGATGAATGGCAAAAGCAAAATAGGAAAGACAGATAGAGAGAACAGAATGTAAAATGTACATGAATGAAAAAATCTTGAACATTGATCAGTATTTGGCCTGATATTCAAATCTTTAGTAGTATTTACCATGCAATTTTGTTTTACAGTAAAACTTGTGGAATCCGGATGTTGTGCATTCCGGCATGTTGTTCAGTCCGACGTAATATTTTAGTCCCTTGAATTTTCTTTATAATTTATGTTTGATAAATGTTGTTCAATTCCGATCTTGCCTATTCTGTAAACCGTCCGCTATTTAAAGAACTAACTGCTCATAATTAGTACAAATTATCTCCTCTAATCCGGCCACTTATTTTTACCTGTGACCGCTGGTCATTGGAGAAGTCTCGCGTGGGGGTAATTATTGTCCCGTTAATGATCTATCCTGCATCGACAGTTTAGATTTTAACAAACGTGATAAAAAAAAAATGCCATTAATGGCTCAAATAAGGTGAGGAAACTCGCAAAAGAACGAGTGATAGTGATGGTTGCGTGTAACATGTCTATAGAAAGAACTTGGAGACTTATTCATGACCTCCTTTCTACTTTCGTTTTGCGTGCACGACGTGCAATTCGAATTACTTCCCTTTGTGTCACCAGTTTACAACAACCATAACGACAGAAGATTTTGGTCCAACATTCATTATAACATTTGAAATTAACAAATACAGTGTCTAAATATTCGAACATATTAATTTTAAAAGAAAGAAATTAATTAGGAATCTGTCCCTAACAAAATAATATTTACAACTTCGATGAGGTTTTGGAGTGTGTTTAAAACATTTAACGATTTTCAAATTTAATAAATGACCAACAGATACTGAATAAAAAACTTGAACAGAAATGTAAATTCTGAAGAACAATCAGAACTCAAAACAAACGAAATAGACGATTTTTGCAAGTGAAACGTAAAAGAAAATGACACATTTGATCAAGTACATGTATTTATTTACCACTCTTTATTTATATCTATGTAACTTTTAACTTGCTATAACGGTTCAATTTTCTCCAATCCAGATGTTGTCTTATCCAGCCAAAAATTTTGGAACCACTGGTTGCCGGATTGGACAAGTCTTACTGTATAAAATATGAAAAAATGGAATTCCTCCATTCTCTTCAAATTTAAAGCAATATGAGCTGCATTATTGAGAATTTTATTTTTGTGTTAAAATGTGCAGTTATGATAAATCTCTATGTAACTTAAACCTTTATGATCAATGCTAAAAAGAGCTTGGCGTTAAGCATGGGGTACACAGTGTATATCTGAGTCATCTATGTTGTCACCTAGCTAATAGATCAATCAATCTGTACATGCATCGAAAGAGGCAATGTAGCGGAAATGTATATATATATACTTTTAAATGTAGCGGTAATGCAAACTTTTTTTGTAGCGGTAATGAGTATGTAGCAGTAATGACAATTTTGAAAATGTAGCGGTAATGATACACACCCACCAACTTCATACCCCTTGACCCAATAATTTTATGTATATTTCAAATGACTTCCAGAAGTTTAAGAGATGCAGTTGCACCCCAAATAAGTTTTCTAAGCGAATAATCTTCCTGTATAGATCGACATAAATATTTCAAATAAAGAAACTCTCTTTTTTAAAAAATGGATTCACATTTTTCCCTTCAGTCCATCTAAATGATTTATTGCAACTATAATTCAACAATTTACCCACCCCACAGCCTTAAAATTAAACAAAAGTACAAGTTCAGTTCAAAGTTGCTTTAACATATTTGAATTGCATATTTATATATACAGGACATTACTAATGGTAATTGATGGATAAAGTGGCAGTTTATTAATTAAGAGACCTAAGGTACAAGTCAACCCAGAAAATAACCTACAGTATATCCATCATTTCAATGAGAACCATTGGCATCAAGTCTTTTGTCAGAAATTGACAAGGATCTGCATATTTAAACACAATAAGGCCAATTTAAATTAATATGCTGTTATAATCATTCTGGAGTACATTTGACTCCTAAACAATTAGATCCACAAAAGCTATAAACTTTATCAGAAGCCATTGTTAGCTTTATAAAGAGAGGAGTAATGAAAATTAAAAGGCGGTAATTCAAGGATGGTTTACAATGATAGTATCTTCCCTTATTCATGCTATTTCTTAATAAGCCCCCAAGTGCATGTCTAAATGAAGTTCACTGCAGGGTATTTCGTATGTATATGAGATAGATCTTGTGTTTTTGAACACCCCAGTATTCTCTTAATTTAAATTTTTATTGAGTGTAAAATTGTAAGGCATGTGACATAAATAAACTAATGTAGGGCTTACTATTTTATTGATTTGTAGTAGACAAACATTTTTAATTATTAGTTTACAAGTTAAACTTGGTAGTTAAATCTTTTATTCTTGCATCTGATTGGGTTTTTTTTTTCTCTTTCAGTATCTTTATGATATTTTTTTTCTTTCAGTATCTTTATGATGATTCCTCAGTGAAGATGGATCTCAGGTAATGAATGAGAGAGAGAGAGATTGTGATGAAAGGGGGATAAATGCAATTCAGAAATTAGAAAAAATATCCATTTAAAAAATTGGAGTTATCCTTCTTTTCTTTTTTCCCTTTGGAGAATTAAGTGATCTATTCAACTTTATCTCCCACTCAGCAAAAATTTAGTTCCTTTTCAGGCTTGATTTGCATTCATTGATAATTTCCATATGCCCATAAATATAGCCTGCATTCATGCAGATCTAATGTGATAGGTAAAAATGGTTTGCTTCCTGTTGTCATAAACTTCACAACTGCTAGTTGACAACTATAAGGTCAAATACCTAAGCATCTATTGCCAATAAGTTGTTAGTCTGTTAGAGGAAATTAAGAATGAAAAGCAGAATGAGTCATTATGGCACATGGACATTTGCAAGTTAAAAAAACACACACACACAAACTTTTATTGTATATGACACAGTTTTATGCAGATCCAAGCAAAATGACATCATGCACTAATATGTATGATGCACACAAATCTCAATGTTAAGGACATTGATTTTAGTCTGTCTGTGTGTTTGATACTAATTTATTCTTCTATAAATATACCTGTGACAAATATTGAAAACTGTGGGTAATTGTTAGATTGTAGATGGTAGACTTAGGAAATGCAGGTATAGTCAAACTTCACAATCTCAAACTCCATGAGACCAAGAAAAAAGTTCTACATCTCAGAGGGTTCAAGATGTTGGAAAGAAAAAGTGATTGGAACTCCTAACTCACTTTGACATATCCTATCCAGGGTTTTTGAGATATCAATGTTTGAGTTAATCTAGTTTTAAATTTGTTCATCTCTGAGATTTGGATTCAGTTACCAAGTCTTAACTACTAGATAGTCCTAGATTTTTTTTTTGTAAAAGTTGATTAAACCCATTTATTCAAATGTTTCTTTGAGCCCTAATCCCACAGATTCAATGTAATTTTCATTAATTATTCATTGATTGTCAAAAAAAGGTTTTGTCTTATAGATATAAACACAAGCTGGTGTAATTATCTTTGTTAATTATTCATCAGAAAAGTTCCTTTATTTCCCAGGATATGTTAGATTTTTGATGATATAATTAACAGAATAAAATTGCAACTTGGCGGTTCATTTACAATGCCTATACATAATTTACTAAACAAAAAGTACGTGATAGCCTGTTCTATAGCGGAGTTGCCATATACTTCTTCGGAATGAAGTTGAACACGTTTTCTTACTAAAACAACTTGTTTATCAGCGACAAAGATCACGGGAAAAAAATTGTGTTAAGTAGAGGTGATGAATATGTATAAGTCATAATAAGGATAGCAGTGTTTGGACATGTCTGAATCACATTGCGTGTAAGCTGGTTCCTAGCCCAAACTGTCAACACTTTGAAGCGCTTGTTCCTTGTGATGCATATGAGGGTCATGAACAGAGAAGCATACAACCATTAGTCGCACGAGGACTCTTGTACCATATGTGTCAACTGTACTGTTCTCTTGTAATTGTTTTTCTTCAAACAGTTCCAATTTTGAGTGATATCAGATATGATAATGCCCAAGCTAATTATTTTTTTCATTCTAACATTGGTATTTGAATTGCAAAAGTTTTTTTTTTTTGGTAAGTGTTGTTATGGGACCATTGGTAAAAGGAAAATTTATATTGAAAACTGACATTCTACATATGTTTATGTTCACTAATACTATTGTCTGTAAAATACAGTCAATAAACACACATTTAGCTTTTTTAGGTGATGTCAGTGACATATTTGATGCTTTGCTGATAATTCTTTTAAAATCTTTAATGAAGGGGTTTTATACATTTCTGATGATGATAAAAAATATATAATATATTTTAACAATTTTTGTGTACCTAAAAGGCTTTCAGGCTTAAATTACTTGCCATTTAATTGAGAGATCATTTTTGCTAATTGAGTGATTTCTACTTTTGCAAAAAAAAAAAAAAAAAAAAGATAGATAGGGCTTAGTTAACAACTGCATATTTACAAATGCTAATGGCTGAATTTTTATTAAAAAAAAAAATAATGTTTTTTAAAAACTATGTCTTTTAAAGTTAACATGAAAATCAGTGTTTTGTCAATAACAGTTGATGATATTTTCTTCATAAAAAGCCAACTGTTAAAAAAAAAAAAAAGAACAAAGAACCTGAAATACTTTCTGGATAAGGAAACCCATGCAAGTAAAGAAAATCAGGGACACAGATCTCTTGTGTTGCATTTTTAACTTAGATAAAAATCTTCAATATATGTTGTAAAAAAAAAAATATTTGAGTGCTTTGTACTTTCTTAATTTTTATTTTGGAAAAAAAAAAATAACTGCTTAAGAATTGAGTAATATGCTTCAGATAACAAAAGGTGTGGCTGCAGCAAGGAAGAACAGAATTAGATTTTTTGAGGGGGGCTGAGGATTACTTCAACAGAGACAAAGATATATATTGAATGCTGGCAAGCTGCAGCAGTAATGACATTTGTTGATGAATGTGTTTTATATTACATAAGCATAGGGAGAATTCTAAGAATGTTGATTGAATCACTGCATGACTTGCAAAGTGATAAGATTACATCAGAGAAGGCCAGAACTACACTAATTGTTTTACATATCTGCCAGCGTCAGAGAGGCTTTCATGGTCAGTGCTCATCTCTGATGGAAGAGTGCTCAGAAAGTTAACTTAAAGAAAACTTTTAATGCTTATTTGGTCTTTACAACATTGCCTCAATCTAAAAATAACTAATAAAAACTAATTTTGAACCTTTTTGCTATTGCATGCATTGTGCATTTAGTGATCTATTAATGTTGAGGCAACTTGAGGGTGAGAAAGTTTGCAAAAATGAAGTCAGTGACACTTTGAGGCAGATAAGCCACTATATACAGTGAAAACTGTCTAATCTGACACCTGTGCAATCCATTTCCCTGTGAATTTAGACCCTTATTTAAATTCCCATTTTACTGTTTAGCGGGGCTTATTGCCTGTAGATCAGTAGCTGGCTTTTGTCAGCCTGTTCAAACTGGAAGCTGACAAACAGCCTCCAAATTATATTTATGTGTAAAAATTTAGTACTTGCTATAAACTGCTTTTTTAGCCAATACCAATGCTAAATTTAACAGCCAAAATAAAACAAAGATTTTTCTACACAAATAAATATCAATAATAATGATTTTGATAATTCCATTCTTTTTTAAAATAGTTATATAAAAAATCAATAGATTGTAAATGTTTATGGACCTTATACTATGATCCGAATTAATCAGGGTTAGAGTTAACCTGACATCGGTAAAAGTAAACAAATGGATTGGCCTGGATTTCTGTCCCTGTTTTTTTCTTCATCTTTTTAGAGGACAACACTGACCATCAAAAAAACTTACGCTTATGAATTAAGTTTTAATTTTTCAATTCTTTTTATATAAGATGTCCCTGAGGCCCTTATTATCATTATTTTGTTTAATCAATGAGAATTATAATTAATTTGTTTGATGAGCCTGGCTTACAGTACTATGAGTACTTTGATTTTTATATGTCCTTTACACTGTGCAGACACCCTGTCTATTCGTCTCCCATTGCATGTTGAATTAGACAGGTTTCACTGTATTTCCATTATATTCTAGCTGACAAAGCATATTAAGCAAAAACAATTTAGAAGGAGGTTATGTCTTGATTACCAATTACTAGATTTTTTGAACTTTGTTTATGTATTGAAGTATACAGTTGACACATGAGGTCATTAGATGATGTATTACAAAGCAATACATCTTTCAGGGTTCATTTCCCTTCTGTCTCTGTTTGACAAATCATGAACCACTTGGTAAACTGTCTTTTATCCTTTTATCTATGAACCTTTGTTTTGGATTTTGTGAGTACTACTGTACTTACTTGCTAGAAGAAACCCCATACCCCTAGGTCCATGGGACATGTTGTTTATTCAAGTTAAGTTAGCATAGAATGTTCAGGAAACAAATTTTCTGGGATCCAATGTCCTTATAAGAATTGAGTAATTCTACATAAAGTACATCCAGAAATGGATGCCAAAAATTAGCCGCTTTCTGTACAGTGCAGTTCGTATAAAATAGTTCTATTTTTGTGCTTGGTAAATATTATTATAACTCTCACCAGCGGGCAAAATAATATTCAAATAAGTGCAGTGAAAAGTATACATACAGTATTATCAAATTATTCATAATTCAGATTGATGAAACAAGACCCAAATAGGAGTGAGCATTTCGAGTACAGGCAATGTAGAGCTTCTATATATGTGTAATCAAATTAGCTTCATCATCAGATTATGTGATGTCTGGCTCCACAAAGAGAATAAAATGCTGTTCATTTTGCCATAACAGCTTTATCTTACCATATTTCCTGCCCACTGTGCTTTTAGAGGAGCAAATTTGTCCATATTTGAAAAAAAATATTACCTCATACTCTATATTATAGTGTGTCCATTCGGATTGATTCATTTTGACTAATGGACTGGACTCCCAGTTGTACTGCCTGGTTATTTGCGTAAAGGTTAGACTCTAACTTGGCAAAGAAAACCCTAGTGGGCATCCATTCATTTACTTAATCAATTTAGATGACTTTTTTGTTCAGTGAGATACAAGGGAATTCAGAATTGTTCCATAGCATTGCCAAAGGTCAGTGTTTCACTGGACAGAAGTTGGAATTGTTCTCAATTGGTAATACAAAAGGGAAAAAAAATTCTGGATAAGTTGTTCTGAGTGCCATTTTATAGGCCATTTAAACCTTCAAGCATGAAAGATACAAATGGGAAATCTATAACCTTGTTTGAAAAAAAGGATACTGGGTAATTCAGGTTAAGTATTGAACCTTCATTGATTTTCAGTGGAACAATAGGGATGTATTACACAGTACCAAATTTGAAGCTTTTCATATGCATGTTTTCAACAAAGAGGATGTGGGACAGGACCATACAGTTTGCCAATAAACATATCTTAGTTTTAGAAGGTTCATAAATGTTACTTTGTCT